CCGATGGCTGGTACAGTATGCTAAGACCTAGTATATTAGTTTTAAAATATATTTATACTAACTATAAATTACTAAATAAAATTATTTTAAATAAAAAAATAATATTTATTTTAAAATTTTAATAATTACTTATAACTAGACTTAAACTAAATTATAAAGTTAGCACTACTTATTACTTATAAATAAATAAATAAATAAAAAGAATTAACTAAATTATTAAAATATATTTTTATTATTATATTAACTTTAAATAAAATAACTAGGTTAAACACTTGCTAATAGTATAAATCTTATATAATAGTATACTAGTAAAATTAATAGAAAAATTACTATTTTATATAAACTATAAATTTAAACTAAAAGCTTTTTAACTGCTATTATAAGGCAAAAATATAAAAAAAGTAATTATTACAGTAAATTAAATAAAGGAACTATATAATAAATTATAATTATAGCTTAAATTTATATAATAAAGAATAATTAAATATATAAATTAAAAAAGAATTAAGGGACTAATTCTTTAAGAAGGAGATATAGTTTACTTACTTTAATACACTTAAAATAATAAATAAGTAAATATTAAAATAAACAGGCTAAGTAATAAGCTTAATTTTAAGAAACTTAAACCTTATAAGGTTTTAAAGTAAATTAAAAAAGTTAACTATAAACTTAATCTCCTAGTATAAGAAAGATAATAAAAATAATTAATATACTTAATTTTTTATATATTACTACTTAAAAAAGCAGTAGTTAATTTAAATATAAGTAAAATTATTTATAATAAAATTATAATAAAAGGTAAAGAACTTAAATATAAAGTTAAATAAATACTTTAAATTAAATTTAATAAAAATACTTAATAGCTAAAATACTTTATAAAATAGAAAAATTATAATAATATTAATAATATATAAAAACCTATTAAAAATCTTAAATATTTAAAAACCCTAGTTAATAAGTTTTATTAATAGTTAAACTTATAAAGGTTAATAATAAAAAATCTAATAAAAATTAATCCTAATTAATAAGGTTAATAAAAGAAACCAGGATATTAAAATTAATTAGGTTAAGTATAAATATTTCTGCTTAATAAGTAGCTACTACTACCTTATACTTTACCTTCTTTATATATTTTAACTTTTTTAAATTATTAATTTTATAAGTAATAGCCCTTTATATTTTTTTAGCTTATTCCTTTTTTTATATATAAAAATATTTAATATATATACCTGCTTTAAGCTAGGCTTTTTTAGCCTGCTTTAGCTTAAAATTAAAATTAGCACCTTTATTAGCTATATAATAAAGTTAAAATATAAATAAACTAAAAGCCTTATAGCTAGGCTGCTAAAAATAAATACAGCTTAAATAATAAAAGAAATTAGCTTTTAATATAAAATACTAATAACTATATTTTTTATAGTATTAGCAGGGTTTTATAATTAATAGCTTAAGCAAGATTAACTGCTCTAAGGCATGCTGCTAAGGTACTTAAGAAAACTTATCTGCAGGTGCTTTATACCTAGGGTTAAGAGAGAAGAGAAAAACTTAGTAAAATTTTTTTTTTTCTCTTTTATTTAATTTTACCTTTAAGCTTATAAAAAACTAACTATATATAGGCTTTTATAAATAAAAATAATACCTTTAGAATAGTTAAAGCTAGGCGGATTTTTATTTATTTTTATTTAAGCTATATCTTTTTTAGTTAGCTTAAAAAAGCTAAAAAATAAAAAATAGTATTTTTTTAATTTTCTTCTTAATTAAGTATAGTGTTAATAAGAGGTAGGGCTTAGGACCTACTTAAATAATTAGCTTAAAATCTAGTTAATATCCCTACTAATGCCTTTCCCCTTATAATACTTAAGCTTAAAAGGTAGTAGTATAAGAATCTTTACTTATAAATAACTAGGCTATTAGTAAGTGCATTAAGCTATAAATAGTACTATTAAAAAGCTAATTTTTTAATAGATTTTTTTATATAATTTACTATTTTATATCTAGTTTAATTAGCTTTTTATTTAAGGAAGAAGATAAGGTATATTACTTAAGAGGTAAGGTGTAGCTTACTTAAGTAAATAATTAGCTTAAAATCCAGTTAGTATCCCTGCTAGTGTATTTACCCTTACTACTTTACCCACTTACCTTTTACTTAAGTAAGCCTTAAAGAAGAAAAAAAGTAAAAAAGGCTTTTTATTTATAAAAATTAAAGTAAAATAAAAAAGCTATAAATATATAAAAAATAGCTTTAAATAGCTTATTTTTTACTAAATTTTTATATATTTTTTATATAGCTATTTTTACTTATATAAGTATTTATTTTTACTTTATAAAAAAAATATATTACTTTATACTTATAATATAAAACTGCTATTTATTATAAAATAAAATAGCTAAAAATATATAAAAAATAGCTTTAAGTAGCTTATTAAGTATTAAAATTATATATATTTTTTATATAGCTATATTTCTTTAATAAATAGATATTTTAAGCTATATATATAAATATAATAGTAAAATAATATATTATATAGCTTTTTATTAATAAATAAAATAGCTAAAAATATAAAAAAAATAGCTTTAAAATACTTATTTTTAATTACAATTTTATATATTTTTAATATATAAGATCTTTTACTTTTTTATAAGCTTCCTACCTTAGATTAAATTTTTATATTTTTTTACTATTTTACTATATCTTAAATAAAGGCTTTAAAAATATAAAAAAAATCTTTTTATATACTATAAGCTATAAGAATTTTATATATATTTTTTTTTAATTTTTAAAGTAAGTATTAAAGCTAGAATTAAAGTTTTAATTTTTTAAGGCTTTATTTTAAAAAAGGCAGTAATAGCTTATAAAAGAAATTTCTCTTTCTTTTATACTAAAAGTACTTTTTTCTTAATAATAAGGTTTTAATAATTTTAACTATACTTAATTAATATAGATTTTTTTCTTTTTATAAAACTAGTCCTTTTAAGCTTATAGCCTTATTAGTTATTTTTTAAATAATTTTTTTAATTTTTTAATTTTTTATTTTTTTTTACTTTATATTATATAATAGCTTAAAAAAATATAATAAATATATAAAAAATATTATATTATATATTATTTTTTTTTAAAATTTTATATATTTTTTATTTATTTATAAAAGGTTATATTATAAGGTGAAAACTGGTCTTATAGGTTCAGGTTAGAAATTCTTTGCCTAAATAAAGATTTCTTACCTGCCTTAAATTCTTTACCTAGATAAAGATTTCTTGCCTAACCCAGATTCTTTACCTAGATAAAGATTTCTCGCCTAACCTAGATTCTTTACCTAAATAAAGATTTCTCGCCTAACCTAAATTCTTCGCCTAGATAAAGATTTCTTACCTAACCTAGATTCTTCACCTAAATAAAGATTTCTTACCTAACCTAGATTCTTCACCTAGATAAAGATTTCTTACCTAACCTAAAATCTTCGCCTAAATAAAGATTTCTTGCCTAACTTAAATTCTTCACCTAGATAAAGATTTCTTGCCTAACCTAGATTCTTCACCTAGATAAAAATTTCTTGCCTAACCTAGATTCTTCACCTAGATAAAGATTTCTTACTAAACCTAAATTCTTTACCTAAATAAAGATATCTAGCCTAACTTACCTGCCTTAAATTCTTCACCTAAATAAAGATTTCTCGCCTAACCTAAATTCTTCGCCTAAATAAAGATTTCTCGCCTAACCTAGATTCTTCACCTAAATAAAGATTTCTCACCTAACCTAAAATCTTTATAAATATCTAGCCTAACCTAAATTCTTCACCTAAATAAAGATTTCTCGCCTAACCTAAATTCTTCACCTAAATAAAAATATCTAGCCTAACCTAGATTCTTTACCCAGATAAAGATTTCTCGCCTAACCTAAAATCTTTACAGATATCTAGCCTAACCTAAATTCTTTACCTAAATAAAGATTTCTCGCCTAACCTAAATTCTTCACCTAGATAAAGATATCTAGCCTAACCCAGATTCTTCGCCTAGATAAAGATTTCTCGCCTAACCTAAAATCTTCGCCTAGATAAAAATATCTAGCCTAACCTAAATTCTTTACCTAAATAAAGATTTCTTATTAAACCTAAATTCTTTACCTAAATAAAGATTTCTTACTAAACCTAAATTCTTCACCTAAATAAAAATATCTAGCCTAACTTGCCTGCCCTAAGTTCTTTACCTAAATAAAGATTTCTTGCCTAACCTAGATTCTTTACCTAAATAAAGATTTCTTACTAAACCTAAATTCTTTACCTAAATAAAGATATCTAGCTAAACCTAAATTCTTTACCTAGATAAAGATTTCTTACCTAACCCAGATTCTTTACCTAAATAAAGATTTCTTACTAAACCTAAATTCTTTACCTAAATAAAGATATCTAGCTAAACCTAAATTCTTTACCTAAATAAAAATATCTAGCCTGCCTTAAATTCTTTACCTAAATAAAGATTTCTCGCCTAACCTAAATTCTTCACCTAAACAAAGATATCTAGCCTAACTTGCCTGCCCTAAATTATTCTTTACCTAAATAAAGATTTCTCACCTAACCCAAATTCTTCACCTAAATAAAGATATCTAGCCTAACCCAGATTCTTCACCTAGATAAAGATTTCTCGCCTAACCTAAAATCTTCACCTAAATAAAAATATCTAGCCTAACTTAAATTCTTCGCCTAAATAAAGATTTCTCGCCTAACCTAAATTCTTTACCTAAATAAAGATATCTAGCCTAACCTAAATTCTTTACCTAAATAAAGATTTCTTGCCTAACTTAAAATCTTCGCCTAGATAAAGATATCTAGCCTAACTTAAATTCTTCACCTAGATAAAGATTTCTTGCCTAACCTAAATTCTTCACCTAAATAAAAATATCTAGCCTAACTTAAATTCTTCACCTAAATAAAGATTTCTCACCTAACCTAAATTCTTTACTTAAACAAAGATATCTAGCCTAACTTAAATTCTTCGCCTAGATAAAGATTTCTCGCCTAACCTAGATTCTTCACCTAGATAAAGATTTCTTACTAAACCTAAATTCTTTACCTAAATAAAAATATCTAGCTAAACCTAAATTCTTCACCTAAATAAAGATTTCTCGCCTAACCCAGATTCTTTACCTAAATAAAGATTTCTTACTAAACCTAAATTCTTTACCTAAATAAAGATATCTAGCCTAACTTGCCTGCCCTAAATTCTTCACCTAAATAAAGATTTCTTACCTAACTTAAATTCTTTACCTAAATAAAGATTTCTTACTAAACCTAAATTCTTCACCTAAATAAAAATATCTAGCCTGCCTTAAATTCTTCGCCTAAATAAAGATTTCTTACCTAACCTAAATTCTTCGCCTAAATAAAGATTTCTTACTAAACCTAAATTCTTTACTTAAATAAAAATATCTAGCCTAACTTGCCTGCCCTAAATTCTTTACCTAAATAAAGATATCTAGCTAAACTTAAATTCTTTACCTAAATAAAGATATCTAGCCTAACTTGCCTGCCTTAAATTCTTTACCTAAATAAAGATTTCTTGCCTAACCTAAATTCTTTACCTAAATAAAGATTTCTTACTAAACCTAAATTCTTCGCCTAGATAAAGATATCTAGCTAAACTTAAATTCTTTACCTAGATAAAGATATCTAGCCTAACTTACCCGCTTTAAATTCTTCACCTAAATAAAGATTTCTTACCTAACCTAGATTCTTTACTTAAATAAAGATTTCTTACTAAACTTAAATTCTTTACCTAAATAAAGATTTCTTACCTAACCTAAATTCTTTACCTAAATAAAGATTTCTTACTTAACCCAGATTCTTCGCCTAGATAAAGATTTCTTACTAAACTTAAATTCTTTACCTAGATAAAGATATCTAGCCTAACTTGCCTGCCCTAAATTCTTCGCCTAAATAAAGATTTCTTGCCTAACCTAGATTCTTTACCTAGATAAAGATATCTAGCCTAACTTACCCACCCTAAATTCTTTACCTAAATAAAGATTTCTCGCCTAACCTAAATTCTTTACCTAAATAAAGATTTCTTGCCTAACCTAGATTCTTTACCTAGATAAAGATTTCTTACTAAACCTAAATTCTTTACCTAGATAAAGATGTCTAGCCTAACTTGCCTACCTTAAATTCTTTACCTAGATAAAGATTTCTTGCCTAACCTAGATTTTTTACCTAAATAAAGATTTCTTACTTAACCTAAATTCTTTACCTAAATAAAGATATCTAGCTAAACCTAAATTCTTCGCCTAGATAAAGATATTTAGCCTAACTTGCCTGCCTTAAATTCTTTGCCTAAATAAAGATTTCTTGCCTAACCTAAATTCTTTGCCTAAATAAAGATTTCTCGCCTAACCTAGATTCTTTACCTAGATAAAGATATCTAGCCTAACTTACCTGCCTTAAATTCTTTACCTAAATAAAGATTTCTTACCTAACTTAAATTCTTTACCTAGATAAAGATTTCTCGCCTAACCTAAATTCTTTACCTAGATAAAGATTTCTTACCTAACCTAAATTCTTCACCTAGATAAAGATTTCTCGCCTAACCTAAATTCTTTACTTAAATAAAGATTTCTTACCTACCCTAAATACCTTACTGCACTAAACCCTTATTTTAAATAAAGGTTTTATTATAAAATAATTTTTTTTTCCTTTATTTTTTTTTTTTTTTTTTTTTTTTTTTTTTTTTTTTTTAAAAGAACCCAGGGGGCCCCTTTGGGAAAAAATTAACCCAAAAAACTCTCCCCCAAAAAAGGCCAATCCCCTTACGGCCAAAAAATAAAAAAACCCAAAAAAATTATTAAAAGTGGGCCTTAAGTCCCCAAAAAAAAGTATATATAGAAAATTTCCTTTTATTTTTTTAGGCCTTTTACCCCCCTTAAAAAAAAGGGATTTTTATCCCCCCCCCCGGGAAGGGCCTAAAAAAAAGAAACGCTAACCCCAAAATCCCCCCCTTTAAACCAAAAAAAAAAATTTTTCCCTCTTAAATAAAAAAGCTGCTCTCGGTTAAAAAATAAAAAAGAAATTCCTTTTTTATTAAAAAAAAATTCCCCTTAATTTTTTATAAACGCTTTAAGGGGTTAAATAAACCCGGTTTATAAAAAAGGGTTATTTAAAAATTCGGCCAAAAATTTTAAAAAAAGGGGGCAAAACCAAAAAAAAAAAAAAAAACTATAAAAAATTCACATATGGGGTTAAAAAATTTAGGGCCTTAAGGGCAAACTTTACGGTTAAAAAAACTTAAAAATTGAAAAAGGAGTTAATTAGTTAACCCCCAGCACGGGGCCCTTTATTTAACCCCCGGGATTTTTAAAAGGGGGCAAACCCTAAAAAAAACTTGGAAAAAATCCTTAAAATTCGCCTTTCCCAAAAAGAACCCAAACACTTCCCCCAAAAAAGCACCAACCCCAAAGGTTAGGGGATTTGCAAAATATAAAATAAGGGAAAGGAAATACCCGGAAAACCCCAACCCTACTTTAAAAAAA